TTGTGAAGATTCCCGCTACGTTTCTCTATTAACATTATTTTCGCATCTTTAGCGCAGCCATCCATAGCTCTTTGATGTTGAATTGTGAAGTGAGATGTGAAGCAATCGAATTTAGCTGAACACTCGCGAAAACTATACGTGATCTGAACAGCATCCAGACTGGCAAGTAAATAATGAATATCTGGAGTATTGCATTACGGAAAAAATGCCAATCAAGAAAAGATCGAGTTATGAGGGCTTCGGTGTGAAATTATTAGATGCTGGGAACAAGCGTTTCAATCAACAGACCCCTTCAGGCTCTAGGGGGCATTATGGGTAATCAGGTTAAAGATTGTAAAGAAACAAGGCGGCAAAAGACACGTTTTTCTTCATATTTCCGCTCTGATTTTATGTTTCGAGAAGAAAATTTTGCTGTAAATAGAGAAACCCTTTTTCTACGTTTACTAGCGTTTTTGAGTCGATTGAGTTAGGTACTACCCTACTTCTCAGAGTATCGGAAATGTTATTTTTGTGGCTTGAGCGGCTAACACTAGATGAAATTATTCAGTTTTAACGGTAAAAAAATTCCTACGCTCTCAACAATCACTCGATCGGCTCAAAAACGCTGGTACACCTAGAAACGGGGTTTCTCCATCTACAGTACACGTTTTGTCTCCAAATGTGAAATCAGAACGGAAACATAAAGAAAAACGTATGTTTTACAGCTTTACTTCTTTGTAAATTCGCACGGATCACCCATAATGCCCCTTAAAGCGTGAAGGTGTCCGATACTCATTAAGAGATTTCTCTTTTTCTGTACGTGGGAAAAAATTAATTTTCCGGGAAAATGCCACTAAAATGCTCAAATAATGCTTAATGCTCACTAAAATGTTCGAAAAAATGCAACATAATGTACAAAAGCTTAACTGCAGCCTAATTCTGAAGCCATGTTTTCTTTACTTTATTTGACGTTTTAGATTTTCCAAGTCGATAGCAGTACAGTCACAGTTCCTTCAGTTTGGATTTTAATTTGCTCCAGTCGTCTTTGGTACTTCACATATCCACCGCAGAATTCTTCATTCACTGTTAACACCAAAATCAAGATCCTTTGCATAAATGGGGCCAAACTTTGAATAACAATACCTTTCACATCCTTAGCCTCGTAAAAATGTCGTCAGACGAAGGATTTGCACATGATTGTGAGGCTTAGAATGTATAAATTAATTAAATTTAGCCGCTATTTATGCAAAGGGTCTATACGCTTGGACTGAACTCATTATTTCAGTCTTACAGCGGATAAATAACCACACTTAAAAATAAATAAATAAATAAATAAAAAATAAAACGGCGGACGCACAGAGTTTTAATTTCATGTTCAAGCTCAGTGACACAATGTAGTTAAAGTTCTACTCGAGCAAGGAAGTTCTACAACTAAAATTGTCAACCAATTTAACTGCTCTCGTATTAATAGTGCTGGGTTCTGTTAGAAGGTTTGTTGAAGCATAACTTAATATGTGGATTGATCAGCAACATCAAAATCGTCATTTAATTTCACAACGATGTCGGTGGGTGCCCGAACGCTGTAGCCAGTTCTCCAAGAGTCACTCGAAATGCGTTTACTAGAACAAAAGAAGAGAACTCAGTGGCGGATCTAGGGGAGGGGCCCAGGGGACCCACTCTCCCCTTATTTTAGGTGAAAGAAAAAAAAGAAATCACAGAAGGAAGAAAAAGCCGGCAGGGCAAGCAGAACAACCGCTCCCCCCCCCTCCCCCGAATTAGCTCAAGGTCTGGATCCGCCACTGAATCTTAAATAGTCAAGTAATGATGCAAACACTGCTCCCAGCCCATTAGAAAGTATAATACGTGTCTCCTGATCATTTGATCTTATCACTAAGATCAATAAGACTGCAATCGTCGCTTTAGACTGAGTGGCTAGTCGCCTAAGCTCTTTTGCATCGTAATAATTTATATAGTATGGGTCCATTCTTTACTCAACGACTGCCTTAATAACAACAACGAACTGGAATTCTGGAAATCTGAAAATTAAAAGCTTTTAAAACTAGAATCAAATTTAGTTAGCTTAACAGCATCACCTGGGAATGTGAAAAGCATTCTGTCAGCTTCATAGCTGTACCTTTTGAAAAAATTATGTCAAGGGTACCAAGATGAAATTATAATGGTCAGATGATGATACCAAGGTAATAACTTTAGAAAAAGTCCATACATGACAAGTGCATGGGGATTGCAAAAACGTGGCACGCAGAGAGACATATATTCCCATAGCTTAATCAAACGGTAATGCACTATCACAACCCAAGTGACAAAACTTAATTCTTAAAATCCTTACACAGATCAAAGCATATTATGAAAACAGCAGGAAGAATAATTAGGCAGCATTTGTTTGATTATTGACAAACTGAGTTGCTATACAGTTCTCCTGGCAAAATAGCCACCGTCCATATTTAAGCTGAACGTCTATAAACGATGTTTCTTTCACAATGAACGTCGTAGCTAATCTAGAAATAAGGTTCCTTAAAGGTGAATAAACACTGTTAACGACTTTATTCAGCTTCACGCTTTTTGATAACGTCTTATCAGCAAAGTTAACATGAATTATCAAAGGAAATTGTCTTACACATCAATTAGTTGTGATACATAACAAAGTGGAAAGTATTTCTCACAAATCTAGAATCATAAGTCTATTACTTCTCATAAATCTAGTACAGTACTAGTACCTCTTAAATCAAGCTTTAGAAGAAAATTGCAGAGCCTTTTTGTATATAAACTATTGTCTCTGCCATACATGTAGTTCAAACACATGATTCACCATGTCCAGAATGGTAATCTCAACCAGAAAGCTTCCGACATCGTTATTTAAGACTCGCGGTATTCGTGAAAAGGTGAGTCACTGGCGAGCAGAAGAGACCAGCCTTGGAATGGCTGCACCGACACCTCCTTGCCCTCGTCAGTGTGGATAGTGAAGCCCAGCATTCCTGCCACAACTGCGGCAGTGTCCGTCATCCCAGACGGGTGTTTGAGGTGGATTGGCACACTTACCAGGTCACTTGTCATTCCATCGATATCCATGACATGTTTTTTTCCCTTCAAAAACTCAGTGATCCATCCTCTGTAACGGTACTGGCCAGGGACATACATGCCACATGCTTACCTGTTCTCGAAGCCCATAATATGACTCCACCATTCGCTGACCGAGCTACCCTTGTAAGTAGCCAGAAGGTTGCTAAACACGTTTTCCACTACATCCCACCATGCTGATGGCAAATCAAGGTCGTTCTCTATGGGTTCCAGCAGTGTCCGAAGTACCTTCAGTTTGGATTTTAATTTGCTCCATTCGTTTTCAGTACCTAGCATCTCTATTGCAGGAATTCCACACGCCGGCTTCAAACCAAAGCGGAAATACTCTTGGAGGGAAGTCATCATTGTGATCTGCGAAACAATCTTCTGCACGCCAGTAGTGGTGCTAAAATCTGCAGTC